GACACAAAATGATGTTATCTATATTATTTTTCTTCATATGTAAAAAACATAGTGATATCGTTGTACAAAACAAGAACTTTGCAGAACTTTCATTCTTGCACTTTGTAAGTTTACTGAACTCCAAAGTTCGTAATACCAGAAACGCTAAATGTGTACAGCCATGCCTGAAATTCTCACTGTACACAAAAATGTTGCACATACGTTTTAAACTTGGCATATTAGTGAAATTAGTGTGCCCATGAAGTTTCTAACAAAAAATTAACTAATGATTGAACAACATAGCTGCAAAAATGTCAGATATTTTAAAAAAGAGCACTCAAATAAAAGCAATTATTCGTATTGAACACAACACAAAAATTTGAAAGTGAGCACAGTTTTTTACACTTTTTGATGGTCTATTCAATATATATATATATATATATATATAAGTATATAGATTGTGATGAGTGAGACAGAGAATAAGAGACAACATCCAATCCTGGGCCAGCTGTTCTTATTCTGCCTCTTCTTCCTCTACCTTCCCTTAGCTGCCTACGCGCCCGAGTCCCAGCGTCTTTCATCGTCTTGACATTCGGCCATGACTGCGCGCGCACGGAGCTGGCGGCAAAGTTTCTGCTGGGTGGGCTTGGCTGCATCGTGGTGGTCGTCCAGAAACACAATGCAACTAGGAGTGATGGTCTGGGGAAAGCGTCTCTGTTGGACACACTCGCTGCCTCGAGCCGGTTGGTCTACGCCATGGTGCATCTTGCGCTGAAAGTAAAGCGATGATGTCTCTGGCGGACGCCGTTGACTTTGTCGTGCCGGTTTTTGATGATGTCTCTGGTGGACGCCGTTGACTTTGTCGTGCCGGTTTTTGTGTCTAGCTTAGAAAGTCGGGCGCTTATGGCTCTAGTGGACCCCATTGAGTGTTTCGCAATGGTCGTCTTCGGCCCGCAGGCCCGGAGCCCTGAGTTGCCAATACCGTCTCTGGCGGCGGTATTGGCTGTGTCTGTGGGGTCTCTCTCGTGGACGCCATGACTTGCCTTGCGGGGCTGTCGAACACTCTGGTGGGCGACCTTGGCTGTCTCGAGGCGGCCGCAGCAGCAGGTAATTCAGTCGGCACAGTTTGGGGCACTGGTCTTCAATCCCCTCGGCGTTCTGGACAGGCTGCGATTCTCGGCCATCATGCTTTGACGCAGGAGACTCTGCACTGCCATCTTTGGCTCCTCTTGTTCTGCGGCCACAAGGAATCAATATGCTCCTTGGTTGTTCTGTACCGCGGCGTCCATACAAGTTAACGCTGCCATAACTGCACATCATGCTGCAGACACCAGGGGTGTACGAAGGCCTCACCTCGATGCTATCATTGGGAACTGTTGGTATCGTAGACAAGTAAGGTGCGTCATGTCGTGACCCATCCGGCAGGACAGGGGTGAACGATTCCACGTTTCCAGGAGGTGTCGGGTTCGAAGGCCGCAATGCCAATTGCTGAGGCTCTAGGGTGTGTGGTCTTGTTGCCTGTTGTCAGACTGGAGGACTGCAATAAGACGTCAAGCTGCCGCCCCACTTGAGCTCGATATATGGTAGTCGGCGCGTTGACGAAGGGTCCAGCTACTCTGTGCCCCTCTGTATCTCCCCCCACGAAAGAGGACAGGGTGGCAGATGGCTGACACGAATTTGGATTCGGTACCAGCGACGAGTCTGGAAGCTCTTGTGGAGAACTGGAGTGCTCAGCTGGAGCCTCGAGATGAAACCCTTCTTGAACTCCATCCTCGGTACCGGTCAGGTTGGACTGGGTGGTGGAAGGGAGATCGGAGAGTGTCCGGCCGAAGACAGCTATGAGATTGAAGCTCCACTCCACCCAGGACTGCTGCTTGAAGCCTTCATACCGGTGCCACGACGCTGCACCTTTCCGAAGACGGTCTACAGCCATGGTCCATTTCTGAAGTTCTGTCCAGGCCTCGCCCATCGCATCGCGTTGACGGTTGCCACCCAGCGGTCGGCGTCGTTCCAGATCCCGTGGAATTCCGGTAGTTCGCAGACGGCTGGTGATTGTGAGGTGGCAGGTGGCAACGCAGAGATCACCGACGCGAAGCAGTCGAGCTGGTGTGAGAGCTCGATCAGAGAATGCTGAAGCTGCCTGCGTTGCTGCGGTATGCTTGCCTCAAGGTCATATGAGGCAGCTGCATCCAACACTGCGTTAATGTCACACAACGCTGGCAACATTGTAGGAGCTCGCTCTGTGATCAACGCTGTCACTTTGTTAGTCTCAGCGCGGAGCAGTGCGATGGTACGCCGCAGCTCCACGGCACTGTCGCACGAGGCTTCTGAACCGCTTTGGTTCGCGTCCGTGAAGTACGTGGTTCTAGTAATACTCATAGTGGTGACACGCACGTCCAAGGAAGCATGAACAGCGTTTCTTGGCAGCTCGCATGTTGGAAGAGTACCGGACAGGGAATGCAGGCCGTGGAAAGCTTGAACAACATCCTCAAAGGACAGGGGCCTGTGCGTATTACGGCCGCGAAGTCGTAGCATAGTGTCCACTGTGTGATGCCCTGATACCACAGAGGAGGCATGGACACCATCCACTGATGGGCCGATGGGCAGCTGAAGCGGCGGCCGGGTTGTTGACTCCATCGTCAAAGAAGCGTGAACGGCGTTCCTGGAGGAAGAAACACGGACTGCCGACGAAACCACGAAGACACGTACCGGTGGCTTCCCTCAGAGGGTTCACTTGTCGGCTTCCGCTGACGGTAGAATCCATTGCCAAGGAAGCGTGGACGGCGTTCCTTGTGAAATGGTACCGGTAACGTGTAAAGCAGCTACCGAGGAGGCCTTGACGCCGTCCTCAAGCGGCGCTCATTGCGGCTGTCCTGAATTACGAAGCCGGGACGTAAGACTTCTTCTTTGTCGACTGCGCCATTGTGATGAGCGAGACAGAGAACAAGAGACAACACCCGATCCTGGGCCAGCTGTTCTTATTCTGCCTCTTCTTCCTCTACCCTCCCCTTGAAAATATATATATATATATATATATATATATATATATATATATATATATATATATATATATATATATATATATATATGCCCTGCTTTCAAAATGCATTTCATACGAACCAGGACAAGAATGGGTTCCCTGGTCATCTTTTATAACAGAGATCAACTGTATCAAATTCGGTTGGCAATACAGTGCACCGTTTTTATAAAATTCAAAAAGCATGGCACAGATAACATTAGAAGGGGAGAGGTACCTGTGTTTCACTGAAAGCCCCTTGGGAAAAAGTAACGTGGCTCAACAGTAACTCAACAAAGTAACTTGACAAAGAAAAATTGTGCTCATAATAGTACCTTTCAAAGCTGAGTACGCTGAGAGCAGGCTCAAATGGTGCATGACGAGGCAGGCACACCGTTGTGCCTTGCAAAAACATTGTCACACCAGATTCAGATGATAGTAATGTAAAATTGAAATGAATGTATAGTAACTATATGTATTATTTATACGTGTATTAGTCCCTACTTAGAGTGTGCAGTGTTTGCACTATCAAAATAGTTCGTCAGAAATGCTTGCAACCACCAAACATGTGTTCATTGCTTGATTAGCACCTAGGCCAATAATAGCAAAGAAATAGAAAAAAGAACATTTGTTGCAACTCACCATTTTGCATAAAAACAGTTCGCATTTGTTTCACACGTATATAGGTGCACGTGACATCATTTCCTACAGCAGAACTGAGCAACCGCCATGTTTCTCAGCAATGAGTAGGGTGCTCGTGCAGCTTACCTTTGCGTGGGAGCTTGGCTGCGTAATTCGTGTGATATGGTGAAAGAATACCTGCACTATATTATTCCGTCGTACTTCTAAGAGCTTGTGGGACCGACTCGTGTACAACACTCGTGTATTACTAGAAGTACACTTGCTGAGTACCCCGTACGTCATATATAAGGAAGGAAGAAAACTAAATTTATTATGGTTCTGCGGAACGTGAATCATTTTTGTGTAGTCACTATGCTATCATTCACTGTGCTATTGCTGGTCATTCTTCGAAGAAACGTGGTATCCGCTACGCATTTATCATGTCTGAAGAGTAATGCCTGCATTGGGTATGCGCCACATTTATCAAGTCGTTAAGAACGCGTGTTTTGTGATGATTTGGAACATTGGATGACCAACTCGTTACACAATTGGCGATGAGTGAGGCCTCGTTGTTTCTTCTATGTTCTAAATTGCTTCATTACTCACAGTACTGCCATTTATTTCCCTACATCAGGCTTGCCTCATGCAAATTTGGCTAGGAGCTGCAAGAAACGGTGTGGCTCAGTGGTAGTATACTGTGCTGGCACGCAGGGGACCAAGGTTGAAAGCCCTTTGGTTGTTTGGTTTTCTATATTTTATAATTGTGTGAGATTGTAGTGACGGACACCGCTAGTGGTGGTGGCGCCAGCGGACAACTACGGCGCTGAACGGGAGCCTTGTTTTGATCTCAAAATAGCTTTCCTTGTAAAAACGGACATGGCACGGTCACTATAATGGCAACACTCTTTTGCCGAACACACTGTGGAATTTACAATGTGTTCTCATACTTTTGCCCATTGTTTTAGCGTAACAGGCAACGACAGAAGACACTGTGAGAGGCTACAATGGGAGTAGCCGACAGCAAGAGCACATGAGGTGATTCGCACCTATAAATAATACACCAGAGCCTTACACCTCCGTATGTATAGTGTAGCATTTTTATATAAAGTGTCAAAAGGGCCAAGTTCTGTCAAATTTTAACATACAGGATACTTTTCTTCTACAACATGGCAACTTGCTCAAACATTTTCAACTATTTATTATTTCTCCATTTTCTATAGTTTGACGCGAGAGTCATTACAGTAGTGGTGGTGGCCATGCATTTATAGATGAAGACCGGAAAAATGAAACGCTTGGCACTATATTAAAGCTATCAAAAAATGCTCTCTTGTAATGGTAGCCTTCGTGCTTACTTTATTTTTTTTCAATTATTTATGTATTTTCTCCCTGCGGATGCCATTCTCTGAAGAATTAAAATTGTTGTAAATGGTTGACCTAGTCGGAATCACTCAAACTTAGACGGAGAAGGGACCTTCCCTTTCACGTCGCAGGTAACGTGGCACGCCAGTGACGTGGAGGATAACACCACCCGCTGAGCCTAGGAACCACACTTGTTCAGGCTCGAAGATGCCTCCATCTGCGGGCAGCCGAAGGCATCGCCGAAAGCACGCAGTGCTGGCAGCGCGAATCGGCACACTCGTTCGGCGACACTACGCTGCTCGACGCTGCGTTGACACCAATTCATGCAGAGGCCCACGAAAAAAAGCTGCTCGGGTGTGAGACCAAACTGCGCCACCTCTTGGCGGAAATGGGCTGCGTTTTGCGGCATCTGGCGGAAACCCTGCGTTCAAGGTGGTGGAAAACCATGTTAAAATGTCGAATAAGTTACCTGCAGTGCGGGTTAGAGACAGGGCAAATTAAGACACACAAGGACTCACATGGTGCAGTGTGTCTCTTTGCATCTCTTCTTTCATACCATTTTTGTTCGTTTCTTTACTAGTGTTATGAAACAATAAATCCTAATTGTTTACTACCATGCCTGTGCTTCCACTTTCACACTATAATTGTGGTTCTCCAAACAGTAACCATACAATGAGTGTACAATCAAGAATATATTTAATGAGAAAAGAGCCATAAGAAGCGCAGTTTCGGCCTAATGGAGAAGCAGCAATGCTTAAGGCTTGCTCTGACTGAAATTCGCAGTTCCAACAACGCACCAATGGAAAAAGGTGTTCGCTAAACTGTATTATTTGACTCTATGCACTTGAAAACAAACGCCTAAAAACTATGAATCTGAAAATTTTGACGGTTGCCTTATATTGTGATGGTACCCATTTGCGTATTCCTAATTTTTCGAACACTCTAAAATTGAGTGGAACAAAAGTATCAGACTGAAATGACTTTCAGTATGATTTACAGGGTGTCCACAGTGAAATAAAGCTCTATAAACGCTATCGTTTACGCTACACCCAAGAAAAAAATGCTTTCACTCACCACGAAGACGCAGCGGTGCGCTTGTGCAGCACTCAGGCGTTTTTGTTCGTTCGTTTTGCGAATATTACAAGAGACACGTTGTCACTTCTCATGGCTCCGTAAACACAACTCATTCTTAGTGCGCCAAGACGCATTTGGACACTTGGATATGGAATTCTGATGATCTGTAGCCTTTAAAACAACGGTACCCAATCGGGAACCCAGGGAACGAGTGTGTTATTGCGCTTAGTGCTTAACGCTTAGTCCGCCAGACGTTATTCATTCTTCGGACGGATTAAGTAGGAGCATTATACAGACGTTCTTTGATCGTCATCTGCACTAATCTCAGCATTATTTTTCATGTTATGGGATGGAGGGCGCTGTACAATCGTGGGACATATCTCTCGGAATGCCACCATTGCTATACTTCATGTCATTTTTCGTTTATTGTTTCAAAGCTGTCGCATTTCTTCGAAGAACCGTGTTTAGGGTGACCAGCCTGTATGCTTTGAAACGTGTTTTTACTTGTGAGCATAAGCACGTACATGGAGGGGTTGGGGATAACGGGAGTCGAAGGCTTCTGTGTTGCATCCCAAGTAGTGTACTACCCTTCTTTACTCCCAGAAAGCCAGTGACCAAAAGCAGGCCATTTTGAGAAGCGTGCCATCACCTCATTCTCAATTATTGTTTTTCGTTATTTCAGAAGCATGCATGTGTTTTCTACTCGAACGACGAATAGCAGGGAAACAAGGGGGGGGGGGGGATCGTTAATGTTGAGCACTGGGCACGCCTATGCTTATGGCTTATGGGAGGGTCATATGAACCTACAGGTGCAATTTATATGAGAGAAATGTTTGAGATCTTACGTCAATGTAGTTTGAGCGTGTCGAAAAAAAGAGCCTTGGACCTTGCCCTCAGTGACGAACAGTACATAACCAGTCAATAAGCATAAAAGTTGCTATGTATCCCTGGGCTTCCGGCGTCGGGCTCAGTTTCTAAGATCAAAGTATCCGAACAGAGTACAACAAATCTGGAGCTTGGCATTGCTTACGTCACTGCTAGATGGGTGTATTACGTGAGCCCAAGAAGCGCACTTTGACATTGCGGGATGTGTTCAGTGTTTTCCGCCAGTCTGAAGGGAGTCTCGCGAATAATGAAGAGACCACATAGTTAGCTCTTATGTAGCTCAGGCGCGTAGTCTAAGGAATAGGAGTCAGGTAATTCTGCTTGAAAGCGGCACTTGTACAGCCGCTTTGGAGAGCCCTGACGGGCGGCCATATGATGGCAAAATCACTCATGACTCACTCTTCGTGCTCAAATGAAGATGTCATCCATGAACCTACTCAAACAGACACTATAAGGCTGCGAGTCGGAGTCTGCATGAGTTCAGGAAAAGGGCGTAAGCAGGAAGTTTTTTCGAGGGGGAGGGGGATCGTGCATGGTGTACCACCCCTGGTTAAGCCCTCTGGTCCGGGCCAAGTGTGTTATATTTCTGTGAGTCTGAGACCAAATAAGGGATAAGCGTAAAATATCTTTTTAGATGGAGCCTGAATGAGCTTAACTTACTTTTACCGACGTATGCGGGTGACAGACCAGACCTGTATGACATCGAGAGCGAGAATACTAATCTCTGGAATGATGTTCTCGGAATATCTAATAGACCTTTTTCAAGCACTAGCACAACACCCCGAAGGCACGTGGCACACTATGAGAAAAGTTGGTAAGCCGAGAGAACCGGCTTTTCCTCCGTCTGCTGCTCATTGGCGCCGTGCGAGCAGAAATCGGATAGGGCATGCCGCTGCTAGTTCAATAGGGTCCGAATGCAACTGCATATATCTACGCATGAAATGTGAAATGAATAACGCAGTCAGTGTATACATCTGGATGAGTGTACATCAAACGTAGATGATGAGCGGCATACGAGTTATTGGTTATACCGATACATGTGGTAAAAACATGTTATCGGGAGCATTGTGATCTGGAGCACAGAAATCATAGTTATTCGACGATGAACTGCTTATCAAGCGCTAGGACCTTCAATACCATCGCGGTTTGATTGGATCATTAACCCAACGCTGCAAGAAAGTGTTACACCTACAGAATTGTTTATATATATGGACAAGGAACGCACTGAACAAAGAAAAAGTAAACACATTCTGAACATGTTTAAAGACGAAGGGATGAAACTAGAATTCACGTGTCAGATACGTTGCTTTGATAATTTGTAATTTCTTTAGGATGCCTAAGTGTCTATGCGGAGCATGTTTGCTGCCAGTCGATTCTGTTGTGACACAGAGCACTGTTCAATTTCCCGTCGGTGCATTGAAATATTGTTCAATGAGGAATAATGATGTTCTACTTACGCTCGGTGAAGAAAAAGAAAAACAAAATTACTATGGCACTTTACCTGAACAATAGTTTCTAGCTGCAATAAGTTGCGTTGTCCTACCTATATTATAGTGCGTCAGTTTGTGAACAGCTCATTCGTACTGCAACCAATAATTCAGATAACCTTCATGCGCGAAGAAACGAGGAATATTGGAGTTATCCCATGCGTACGTTCTGCCCAGTCTGAAAGCAAGTGTGGAAGCGATACCAGGTAAGAGTGGTGCTCTCAGCACTATTAGCTTAGTAACATTTTTTTTCCGTAGAACGCAAAAGATATCAGGAGTCTGCAGTGGGCAGAGAAAAGTACTATGAGAGCCATGCCAACTGTTCTTTCATGTGTTGTGAAAGAGTTGCTAACCGATTTCCTCTTGTGTTCACATATAGACATCGGTCAGACTAATTGATGTATCAAGAATGCCTCAGAGAGCATCAAAATTCATTGAATGAAGCCATCTCATCACCCCTCGCATTTTCAGTACTCCAAATGCAATTTCATTTTTGAAGGCCTAGTAGTCTTGCACAGTTACACTAACCAGACCACACAAGAAATCTCGAAGACGTATTATAAAGGACATCGAACATTGTTTAGGTCAATTAACCTTCGCTATCGCTACAACATAAGAAACTTAACTACATTATTTAACTCTAAACACGAGCCTTGGCTGTTAGTCATTTTATACGTCTTTGTGACATGCGTGATGCGTCCCGCTTTTCTTAAATGTGTTGGACGTGCGATAACCTCGCATCCGTGAGTGGACTTTACAGGTGTGCTTAATTCTTTCTTGGTCCTACTTCTTTATTTTGCCTTGTCGGCTTGATTTCAACCTACAGTTACAGTTCAAAGACATGCTATAGTAGATGGATTAGCTGCAAGCGGCGCGCAGTGGTCTATTTAACGTATTTTATTTTAAGGAATTGCGCTTATTCATAAAGCACTTTTTAAATATACCAGAACCCCACATTTATTCGTAAACAGCGTCTAAGGACACTGATTCCGAATACATCTGTTAATTTATGAACAGGGCTTGCACCTTGTAGGCAACCAAGTTGTACCGCTTTTCACTTATGCCGAAGGCATACTGACGCTAAAGGACAGTATAACGAACTGACGCTTCCGAGCAGCTCAGCTGGTTGAACAGCGGGACAAGTGCGAATCGTAGACGGGCCATAGCACCTATAACTGAAGTATGTGAGTGAACTACGCAGTTATATATCCCACATTGGCGAGTGAACTTGATCTGAGAAGCGCTGGTACGATGCAAACGGAAAGTTTAAGCGTGAGACCTGCTCTCTCATTGCAGCGGCGTACCAGCTTTTCCCATTAGCGCTTGCGCACCCGTTGGCGGCACTAGTGTGCTTGAAAAAGGTCTATTACGCCGAAGATTTGATGTCTAGTTCATAGAATCCTTGCTCACTTTGTAAGCATTGAACAGAATCTCTGCAGTGACAACAGCCTCCAAGACGCGCCTTGGTACATTGTTGTCGATCCACCTCTGCTCCACGTGCATTTTCCTCAGGCACTGGTACCTCCTCCTCAGCGCATTGATGTAGCCGGAAGTCCACACCCTGTCATAGAAGCCCGTTTCGTTGAAGATGTCTGGACCATGCAGGAACAATTGGCCTGCCTGCATTTATTAGTGAAGGCATGAGTTTCTGTGTTTCGAGTACCAAGTTTTATAGTACTTTTCCATGCATTGTTATGTATGTAGCTCTTCGAAATCGCGCTTGCATATGGCGCAATTTATTTCTGTGAATATTGGTCTGATGTGTGACCGATGGTGGTGCTGCAAACTGCACTTATATGACATAGGTTCAAGGACTTGTGCACTTTACGGCGTCCTGTAGGCTCCTCGATCGACAAAGTTCTCGCCAAAAGCAGGCGATCCGCCCAAGGAGCAGCGGCTGCTGCAGCACGGTGTAGAGCCGAGTCCACAAAGTGATGTCACACGCGATAGGGCACAAATACAACATGTCGATTCCAATAGGAAGCAGCCTTAGTACTTTCCCGAGATAACTAATGATGATGCGTCGCCTTATGAGCAACTGACTCCTTACTTATCACAAAAAAATCACTGCATCTTCGATTCATAGCGCGTAATCACAGCTACCCGTCCAGCGTAACACAGATTAAACATAGCCTTCCACTCGAGCCACTGAAAATTCACCGCGACATCTCACTTTTATCAAAATTTCACAAACTCATCCACACCAGCATGATGCCATCTGTTCACCTTAATCTAGCACATCGAACTTCGAGCAGACTACATAACACCTTTAGCTTATCACGCATGTATGGCAATAATAATGCTTTCAACCAGTCGGCTCTTCCACGAGCTATTCGTTTGTGGAAGGATTTGCCAGATGATCTTGCGTCAGAACAAGACCACACAAAGTTCTATCATACTCTTAAAAAATACTTATGCACCAAAAAGTGCTCTATTGCATCTTCGTAACCATCAGTGTTTATAGAACTGTTGCCGATGTTTTTGCACTATTGCTAGGTTGTAGTTACTGTCATATTAGTTTTTTTTGTATTTCACCTTCACATACTGTAACTCACTTTTCTAGTATGTATTTTCCTTACATGTTCATAAGTTGAACAGAATTTCTATTATATTCAATTTTGCCTATGTATGTGTAGATAATATGTATATATATTTTGCTAACATATTATCTGTACCGCCCCCCTTACACAATGCCTCTCGAGGGCTCTGTAGGGTACTGTAAATAAATAAATAAAATAAATAAATATTCGCAGAGTGAACGATGATGAATAGGGGAAGCGCCCGTCCGCCCATTCGTCCATGTGTCCGCCCATCCGTGCATTCGTCCATGCATCCGATCACGTTATAGAAGGTAGACGGCGCGCCGGTAACACTGACGAGACGTGAGCCAAGAAAGCCGAGCGCAAGCATCTTCAACGCATTCGCTGCTCTGCTTCGTCCATGCCCCACTAACGATCCGTCACATATGGTGACTATCCCAGAGACTGAAAAAAGCACTCGTTCTCCGCGCACTAAGGCAAAGTACGCGCAGCAGCCAATCGGAGAACAGCGGCACTTCGAAAAGTGGCGGCAGAGAAACGCCATCTAGGAAATGAGACGAGAAATGGTCATTAATTCCTTTTGCCTTATTTTCTTTTTCGCCTCTTCTTCTCTCGGTTACTCTGACCAGTGACAAGGTTAGACTAAGAGGAGCTTCGTCTAATAAAAAATGTTTTCGAGGAATTAGGCTTCGTGAGTCAAGTGGCGGGGCAGGAAGGTAACGAGTGCAATCAGCCACAGCATGACACTTGTACGGCATACGACACTCCGAAAGTTGTGAGATGGGTGGACAGTGATGAATTACACTCGCGGGCTACGTGGAATATTCTCGTATTTTTACTTTGCTGATTACACTCTTCATGGAATCATTTGAACTAGTCACATACTTGCTGTACGACGCTGTGTCCGATGACGGCATAATTGAGCGAGAAAGACTTGTCGATCGGAGGCATGACGCTGTCCAGACCGAGGTGAACGGTGTTGTACACGGTGATCAGGTGCGGCATTTCCATCCTGAATGGCGGCATGAAGAACCTGCTCGTGTTAGCGCTGGTGTCCAGCAGTAGGCTCACCATATACTGTGCGGTTATTCGGGTCAAGTGCAGGTAGTTGTCCAGGTAATTGGCGTCTTTCTGGTCCGGCACGTGCGCATACAGCCTGGGCAAAACCAAAATCACGTATGTGAATGAAACTACCGCCATGGTCATGTAAATACGCGAAGCCCCAGTCTATCCCTTGGGCTCTACAGAAATTGTAGCCCACGCTATGTTTGTTGCTTTGGACTCTGGTGCCATCTAAGCCCCTCCCGGAAACCTGAAGTAAAACTTTACAAGTTTTTGACACATGCCCATGACACACTTGACAAATGCCTATGATTTCTCATTTTATTACAAATTTCGCCGAGTTCATTTGAAATAAAACTGCTGCTATGGCGGCATATTTTCCTCAAGAAACTGACCTACAGAGAACCAAGTGGCTTTGATGAGACAAAGTCTGAACCGTAACTGAATATCACATCAGGGTTCCCGCACGACACCGGTGGCGTCTTAAGTCTTCACGCGATAGCATTGCCTATAGCGTCTGCGAAAGCTCAAAATATGTAGCTGCTCTGGCCTGCATGGAAATGATGGGCAGTACATGGCTTTGCCTTAACACAGTGATAACTTTGTTTTCAAGCGGCATGGCATGCTTCTAAATTAATAATGTTCATCAAAGTACCGGGCGTTTCAGTTAAATTGAGCCGAGGGCTTAAAGAATCTAGTAGGTGCTGTGCGTTCCACATTCACGCAGTAGTAATCAGACTCCTGTGGAACAGGTGACATTACGTTCATGGACAGAGCTGTCTGAATAGCAGTGATAAATTGATCAACTTTTCTAATCTAACTTCAGCGAGAAACCTGCGCGAAGCTTGTGCTACGTGCTAAGAAACGTTGCGATCTTGCACGCATGCAAAAATAAATTTCACAAAAGAATTTTTCACCTTTCAATTAAAGAGACCGTGACACAAAGCATGCCATATTGCAACGCACTCACGGACAGCGCTTTTATTTGTGAGCTTGGCGCGCAGGTCCTCCACGCACAGACATCAAAAGAAGTAGCTGTTGTTGAGTGCGATAGGTGCGAAGGAGGATATAGGGTGAACATTTTTGAGCGGATAACAAATTAATCGATAAAAAAAAACGTATTCGTTCGCATGGGAAGATTATACGGCACTAGAGCTGCCTAAGGCTACATTCACATAGGCCACATCGAAGTATGGCGCTACGTCTCCATTGCCAGCCTTCACTTGTCGAGCTCTTGATGTCACTGTTAAGAAGCAACCACTGCTTTCAAACCAGTGTTTTCATGACACTTTTTCTTATTTAGCGGGAGCACTACGTGAAGCCAAACAGGATCAAGCCACTTGTGGTATTGCGATTGGCAGCCTACAATGTGTTGTTGTTTAAGAGTTGCGCGTGGCTCCGCCAAAGTCGTGCATGGCACAAGTGCCCCCTCCAACTCAAAAGGCCGTGTTCAAATCACTACTGCAAATGGCGATTTTTCATTACACTGGCACTTAATGTATATATGTACTGGCTTTGCTTTATTTCTTGAAAGTAGCTTCAGTCGCTACGTATTTGCTGAAAAAAGTAACGCGAAATGTGAACTCTCGTTTCCAGTCTCGTATTAGCGAAATTCTTGCACGCTATACTTTATACGTTTTTGTTTTATGCCGTGTGGTGGAGCCGCGAATAATTACGCTCACTATCAAGTTTTTTTTCTATTTCAGCTCATATTACACTTCACTTTTTGTAGCTATAAATGTAGGCACTGAAACTAGTTTTAAGGAACGAAGAAAACCAACGCAGCAAGAACAAGAAACCCTAAAATTAGAGTTATAACATCTACAAATACGACACGAATAGATGCATTTTGAGTGGAAAGCAGGCATTCTACCACTGCACCACTGAAGTTTCGCGCAACTTTTAAACAATCAAACATTAAAGAGTGCCGATCGCAGCGCCAAAAGCGGCTTGATCCTCGTCCAGCTTCACTTTTCGAAATTTCTTCCAACCGTCTCCTGTTCGAGTACGCTCTAGTTTATCTCCACAGTCTCCTAAAAAAGGTGGGTTCTCTTACGTAGGTGCGGTCAATTATAGTGCTCAATTTTGAAAACCTTTACGGTGTCTCTCATAATCATATAGTGGTTTTGGGACGTTAAACCCCACATATCAATCAATCAATCAATCAATCAATTTGAAAACCTTTTTTTCGTGTGGCTCATCGCCATTGGCCAGCTGTCTTCACTCGGCGCTATGCCCAGTGTCAGCATTGGCTAAAATTTTGTCTAGGAAATAATCCCAGCAAAAGAGTGTTTGTTTTTGTATATTCAACTCCTGGTTAATTTCAAAGGCTGAAATTTCTGTCGCACACGCACCACCGTAACACATATAGGCTGCGTTGAATAATATAAAAAGCTTATAATAATAATGATAATAATAACAATAATAATAATATATTATTATTTATTATTATATTATTATTATATTATTATTATTATATTATTATTATTATTATTATTATTTATTATTATATTATTATTATTATATTATTATTATTATTATTATTATTATTATTATTATATTATTATTATTATTTATTATTATTTATTATTATTATTATTATTATTATTTATTATTATTATTATTATTATTGACTATCTGGGTTTTACGTGAGAAAACCACGATATGGTTATAATAGACGCCATAATAAAAGGCTACAGAAATTCGAACCACCTGGTGTTCTTTAACGTGCGCTGACAATACACAGTACACGGGCCGTGGTGAATAGAAGAAATTAGCTATTAAAACCCTGGGCAATGCTGAAAGTGTACAGTGCAGCAAACGCCATAGCTCACCGGTCCAATTCAACATTGTCACTCGTCGTGGTAAACGTGTATGGTACGAGTCCTAAGGCCACTATCCTGTTCACCATCCTGGTCTCGCTCCCCTCACGGGCCTTGTGAAGTGAGGTGACAAAGTCTCTGGATGAGTGGGAGATACGCTGTACCATGTCTTCGACGTGTTCAACGTCACTACGCTTTAAATGGTTCTGCAGGTACAACCTTTCGGCAGCAAAAGGCATCAACCTGCATCAAGGTTCAAAATCATTTGTTTAGACAGTCACGAACTGCTCTCTACGGGAAACAAATCAGCATGTGTTAAGGCAATGTGTCGTTGATCGTGTTTTCTGGAGGGCTCTGCATGCAGGATTTCGTGGCCTCGGAGTAAACCGCTTTGTTTCTTCTGGTCGTTGTACTCGAGGCCGCTTTGCCTGCCTTCTTATTGTTGGTGGTGCCTACTGTCTTTGGCGTAACCGTTGTGAAGCTGTTGCAGCAGGTCGTCGCCGCCGTGCTCTCTTCCTGATTTTGGAGCGACTATACAAAGAAATAATGTCTGTGTTGTCGGAGGAACTCTTCTTTCTGGGTGAGGAGGAATTCCTTCGACACTGGTCCTGCCGTTTTGTGTTCATCTGTGAGAGACGTGTGAGGCTTATTTTCAGGCCTGCCTGGTATTGGTAGGTTAATCTTTGTTTAGTACTTATACAAATACCTTGTAAATACTATGTAAATATCTGACATATTGATCTCTACATTTCATTTGTGTGATCTTCGTTTACCATGTATTGTGCATATGTAGACATTGTTTTTGTAACAATTTCTGTTTAGTTGGGTAAGTTGTGTATGTTGTGTTCCGTTTACCTATGTACACATATCTTTTTGTAACAACTTTTGGTGTGTCTGTGGATGTTGTGTTTTGTCACATTGTTCTGTTGGATTGTAATTGATGTTCACTGTCTGTGAGAATAAATTTCTCTAAACACATCTGCATCAATGTTAAAAATCATTTGTTAGACAGTCACGAAAGACCGTACAAAAATTCTGTCCTCGACTACCTTCCAGTCAAAAAGATAGATTGTGGCTTCGGTTAAATGTTCAGCCTTCCACTTTTTTTGCTGACATTACTTTCTTACTTTGAAGTGTAGAATAAGAAAGACTCAGACGTCTACTTACGGGCCGTTTTTTAAAGTTTATTGTCATCTCTACCGTTTCAAATAACCTTTCTCCAATGAGGACAAGGTGTTTCTAATCAGCCTAAAAGACGAATGAACGTTAACTAAAGGTGACAATGAGGTTCCATGAAGGTTTTTATGTGTTTGTAGCTGTCGGCACTAAGTTATAGTTAACGTTATTGACTATCGTTATCTCATATGGCAGAATAAATACTGTTAAACTGACCTCAGCCTATGATTTCACCAATCTGAAAAATAAGATTGTAGATGACAGAGAAATATTATTTGTTTTAAATAATTAGCCTACTGAGTACTTTTGTCTCACAACGTGCATAAAAACTCGGCACGTATTACTGGCCATGCACATTAAAAAAGCAAGAACTAGTATTTGACGTTTTAATTACAATGCTCTCATATTGAATTTTTCCAGTAATATACAAAACAAAAGGGCCCTTGATGATAAAGCATATAAAGCTACACAAAGTGTCATATTAAAACTAATAAAAATGATAGGCTATTTTGTAATGACGTGGATTGAACATCAGAGAACAGATATATCCTTTCAAAACACATAAATCGCCGAATGAAAAAAGGTAAAATAGAATACACAATACAAAAACATGAGTTAGCAAGCTAAAGACTTACACTTGAAGGAATTCGAGCGAATAAATTGACAACCAGCCTTGAGGATCACACTTACACTTATGTGACGACAAAACAGTGCCAGCTATGTGAATGCACTTACAGGCGGGCGTCGCTGAAGCAACGTCGCCACAAATCTTTCAAGCTGTCCGTGTAGTTGGCAACGTACGTGCTGTGTGCGAGGTTGTGTGATGCCAAGGGGCTCAGGAACCACACGATATAAACACCAACGTAGGCGGAAACCTTGATAGGATCCAGTGACGTGAACACATTTTGAGACAGGAACTCCGCGTACTCGTCGTCGACTACCAAGCTTGTCGTGCGCACGTTCTGCAGGGCCTGAAACTTATTGCCAAGGACTTTCGAAAGTGCGAACCAGAACTCTGTCAGTGGATACTGGGTGCTCAATTTAACTTGGGTATTTAGGGCATCACTTTCTGGCAAGTGAGAAAACTGCCTGTTTACAGTTTGTATGGCCTTGATGACGCGCGAGTAGAACATGCTACGTTCGCCTATTATTTCAGCGCAGCGCCTGATGTACACGTCGAGACTGTTGCCCAACTGCAGCTGCTGAAGGAACTTGACGAAAGGGACTATGTGGTAACCTAGGTGCGAAAGTACCACGGCCAAGGCGAAGATTATAACCGATGGGGTGAGCCTAAACAAGGGTCCGATGCCGATGTTAAGGTTTATGTCCACGATGCCGCGTACGATGAAGTAGACCGACGTCGCGGGCGTCTGAGGAAACGAGAAACCTCCTGCCCTAAGTACAGTCTTGATCTTGTCGATGTCCTCTGGCGTCTGGTGTACAAGTTTCATACAGTTCCGAAGCAGTTTGGCGGCCTTCTCAACGCTGCTTTGACTGGACGTGGTTGGTGTGGTCGATATCAAGTGAAACGCAGAGATCCTTAGTGTGTCGTGAGCCTTAGTGTAGTGGTTCGAACCAGCTCTGCTGCAGGCGTACTTATAGAAGTCGTAGCAGGGCGCGAACGATGGTTCAATTGTGTTGCGTATGGCTATGCTTGGCTTGTAACAGCGTGGTTCCCTGCATTGCATGAGAAAATGGAACAGCAGCAATGGCTGCAGAATAGTGATGGTCAGTGTCACGGCTGTAACCGACACCAGGATCACGCGGTACTCGGTGGTGCAGTACCAGGGGTGGCGGTGTGATTTTGATAAACTAGACGTCGCTCTTGGTCAGGGTGCTGAGTTGAACGGGTGCGTGGAATGACACTGATCGCGGAACGCGGCTTCCAGGCCTCTTGGCGAACGCGGAATGACGAAGACACACGGGCCATCGGCGTTCCCCAGACGGTAGTGGTGAATCAGCGGACTTGACCACCTGCTCAATTTCTTCGGTGACGAAGCGGCGACCAGTGGCCATGAGGAACGTCGATGCTGCGAGATCTAAGCGCACATTCTTTTACTGTGTAATTCAGTTATATAAATTCGTAAAGCTTGTAACGTCTGGCCAATCTTGAATAAAGCAAGATTATGGCGTGGCTATGATTTTCCAGGAAATCTTTGTAAGCCGAGAGAACCGGCTTTTCCTCCGTCTGCTGCTCATTGGCGCCGTGCGAGCAGAAATCGGATAGGGCATGCCGCTGCTAGTTCAATAGGGTCCGAATGCAACTGCATATATCTACGCATGAAATGTGAAATGAATAACGCAGTCAGTGTATACATCTGGATGAGTGTACATCAAACGTAGATGATGAGCGGCATACGAGTTATTGGTTATACCGATACATGTGGTAAAAACATGTTATCGGGAGCATTGTGATCTGGAGCACAGAAATCATAGTTATTCGACGATGAACTGCTTATCAAGCGCTAGGACCTTCAATACCATCGCGGTTTGATTGGATCATTAACCCAACGCTGCAAGAAAGTGTTACACCTACAGAATTGTTTATATATATGGACAAGGAACGCACTGAACAAAGAAAAAGTAAACACATTCTGAACATGTTTAAAGACGAAGGGATGAAACTAGAATTCACGTGTCAGATACGTTGCTTTGATATTTGTAATTTCTTTAGGATGCCTAAGTGTCTATGCGGAGCATGTTTGCTGCCAGTCGATTCTGTTGTGACACAGAGCACTGTTCAATTTCCCGTCGGTGCATTGAAATATTGTTCAATGAGGAATAATGATGTTCTACTTACGCTCGGTGAAGAAAAAGAAAAACAAAATTACTATGGCACTTTACCTGAACAACATAGTTTCTAGCTGCAATAAGTTGCGTTGTCCTACCTATATTATAGTGCGTCAGTTTGTGAACAGCTCATTCGTACTGCAACCATAATTCAGATAACCTTCATGCGCGAGAAACGAGGAATATTGGAGTTATCCCATGCGTACGTTCTGCCCAGTCTGAAAGCAAGTGTGGAAGCGATACCAGGTAAGAGTGGTGCTCTCAGCACTATTAGCTTAGTAACATTTTTTTTCCGTAGAACGCAAAAGATATCAGGAGTCTGCAGTGGGCAGAGAAAAGTACTATGAGAGCCATGCCAACTGTTCTTTCATGTGTTGTGAAAGAGTTGCTAACCGATTTCCTCTTGTGTTCACATATAGACATCGGTCAGACTAATTGATGTATCAAGAATGCCTCAGAGAGCATCAAAATTCATTGAATGAAGCCATCTCATCACCCCTCGCATTTTCAGTACTCCAAATGCAATTTCATTTTTGAAGGCCTAGTAGTCTTGCACAGTTACACTAACCAGACCACACAAGAAATCTCGAAGACGTATTATAAAGGACATCGAACATTGTTTAGGTCAATTAACCTTCGCTATCGCTACAACATAAGAAACTTAACTACATTATTTAACTCTAAACACGAGCCTTGGCTGTTAGTCATTATATACGTCTTTGTGACATGCGTGATGCGTCCCGCTTTTCTTAAATGTGTTGGACGTGCGATAACCTCGCATCCGTGAGTGGACTTTACAGGTGTGCTTAATTCTTTCTTGGTCCTACTTCTTTATTTTGCCTTGTCGGCTTGATTTCAACCTACAGTTACAGTTCAAAGACATGCTATAGTAGATGGATTAGCTGCAAGCGGCGCGCAGTGGTCTATTTAACGTATTATTTTAAGGAATTGCGCTTATTCATAAAGCACTTTTAAATATACCAGAACCCCACATTTATTCGTAAACAGCGTCTAAGGACACTGATTCCGAATACATCTGTTAATTTATGAACAGGGCTTGCACCTTGTAGGCAACCAAGTTGTACCGCTTTTCACTTATGCCGAAGGCATACTGACGCTAAAGGACAGTATAACGAACTGACGCTTCCGAGCAGCTCAGCTGGTTGAACAGCGGGACAAGTGCGAATCGTAGACG